TAAATTAATTTTAACCAATCCTATCAAATAATATGCAATATTTATTTTTATCAGAGCCATCAATATAAGGAAGGAATGCCTTGATTGAGTATTAAAAATTTTTATATTATCAAAACACACAATTTATAGAACCGAGCCCCTTAATACAATATAAATCTAAGTACTACTAGTTTACACAGAAGGAATGAAAACTGGCAAACATACCTAGTAGTAATATATCTTGCATTATAAGACAGGATATTTACTGTACATATACAAATTAACAGGATTGTCTTGTACATTGATTCAAGTTCTGTTACAAACTTTTAGATAAATTGTGCATCACAGCAATTGCTCATATACATGAAGAGACTAAATTCTTTTAGCATACAAAAATGCAGACTATAATTTTGATGACAGGAGAATTTGTTCATAGTTCAAAATAAATAAATAAATATACATATATATATATACACTATATATATATATATATATATATATATATATATATATATATATATATATATATATATATATATATATATATATATATATATATATATATATATATATATATATATATTTAATTTATTTATTTATTTATTTATTTATTTTATGATGAATGTTATTGAACTAGATTGGAATTTATGTAGGTGGAGTCAGAGGTTTATGGCAGAGTAGTGACCAGTGAGAAGAGAGCATAAACTTCCATGGTAACCACCCAGTGTTACCAAAACTGTAAGTCATAAAAGTCAAAAAATTTGAAGAGATTAATGGAAAAAAAGTGTTAATGTAATATGAAAAATCTGACAGGCTAATAAATTCAATTTAATTTCTCAGTTATATATAGTTAAACACACCATTTCACGTAAAAAAATTTCCATTGACAAAAAGATTCATGGAGTTCTTTATTCTTTCTGGCTAGCCATTTGTATAAATTAAAAGCATTATTGAGGCAAATACCAGTCCTTGTGGAACCCAACAAAAACATTGCCCTCTTATCTCTTCACATTTTCCTCTCAAGCAGAAAATTACTCTTCCATTATTACAATGGAGGAGTATTACTCAAATTCTTTGTTTTGTAATTTCCTGATTGGTCTTTCATGGGAACTCTATTAAAATTTTTCTAAAATCTAGAGAACTAAACCCATCCATTTCTTCCTTGAAAAAATATCTTACTGTCATTATTGCTTAATAGATCTGAAATACTGTTTAATAATTTGCTGACATAAAACTGATTTTATTTGCTGGTTAGAAAGTTTTTGCTATTCTCAATGTGAAGGTTCTGATGATATAATCAGTGTGAAAGTTCTGATAATACTAACACGTTTTTTCACTGGAGCTCAAGGCAGGGAGAGCAGCCTGAGTTAAAATGTAGTGAAACCATACTGTATAAGGTAGGGAAATAACAAGTTTCTTTATAACATATTGTATTGGAAAAGGCGTATGACAGGGTGGATAGGGGGGCAATGTGGCAGATGTTGCAAGTGTATGGTGTAGGAGGTAGGTTACTGAAAGCAGTGAAGAGTTTTTACGAGGATAGTGAGGCTCAAGTTAGAGTATGTAGGAAAGAGGGAAATTATTTCCCAGTAAAAGTAGGCCTTAGACAAGGATGTGTGATGTCACCGTGGTTGTTTAATATATTTATAGATGGGGTTGTAAGAGAAGTAAATGCGAGAGGCGTGGAGTTAAAAGATAAAGAATCACACGCAAAGTGGGAGTTGTCACAGCTGCTCTTTGCTGATGACACTGTGCTCTTGGGAGATTCTGAAGAGAAGTTGCAGAGATTGGTGGATGAATTTGGTAGGGTGTGCAAAAGAAGAAAATTAAAGGTGAATACAGGAAAGAGTAAGGTTATGAGGATAACAAAAAGATTAGGTGATGAAAGATTGAATATCAGATTGGAGGGAGAGAGTATGGAGGAGGTGAATGTATTCAGATATTTGGGAGTGGACGTGTCAGTGGATGGGTCTATGAAAGATGAGGTGAATCATAGAATTGATGAGGGGAAAAGAGTGAGTGGTGCACTTAGGAGTCTGTGGAGACAAAGAACTTTGTCCTTGGAGGCAAAGAGGGGAATGTATGAGAGTATAGTTTTACCAACGCTCTTATATGGGTGTGAAGCATGGGTGATGAATGTTGCAGCGAGGAGAAGGCTGGAGGCAGTGGAGATGTCATGTCTGAGGGCAATGTGTGGTGTGAATATAATGCAGAGAATTCGTAGTTTGGAAGTTAGGAGGAGGTGCGGGATTACCAAAACTGTTGTCCAGAGGGCTGAGGAAGGGTTGTTGAGGTGGTTCGGACATGTAGAGAGAATGGAGCGAAACAGAATGACTTCAAGAGTGTATCAGTCTGTAGTGGAAGGAAGGCGGGGTAGGGGTTGGCCTAGGAAAGGTTGGAGAGAGGGGGTAAAGGAGGTTTTGTGTGCGAGGGGCTTGGACTTCCAACAGGCATGAGTGAGCGTGTTTGATAGGAGTGAATGGAGACAAATGATTTTTAATACTTGACGTGCTGTTGGAGTGTGAGCAAAGTAACATTTATGAAGGGGTTCAGGGAAACCGGCAGGCCGGACTTGAGTCCTGGAGATGGGAAGTACAGTGCCTGCACTCTGAAGGAGGGGTGTTAATGTTGCAGTTTAAAAACTGTAGTGTAAAGCACCCTTCTGGCAAGACAGTGATGGAGTGAATGATGGTGAAAGTTTTTCTTTTTCGGGCCACCCTGCCTTGGTGGGAATCGGCCAGTGTGATAATAAAAATAAAATATTGTATGACAGACTTAACCTACAATGGGTAGTTGTAGTACGGTGTCTGCACCTATAGAAACACAATGGAAACTTTTAGAGTTGTGCAAAGATATGAATCTCTGAATGAAAATATATTTACTCACAAGGAATGACTATGAGCTGTTGGTTCCATTGGAAAAATGGGAGAAGAAACATCTTGAGGAGATGAAAAGTGTAGCAACCATTAATGAAACTCTTAAACACAGATAAGATAAATTAAAAACTGTACAGAGTGTAGCTTTATTACTGTAACTTGGAATGTGTAATTACAAATTAGAAATTACTGTACTCAGTTATACTCAAGCTAGATCATGTCAGATAATAGCAAGCTAAAATGCAGATACAGGAACTAGATCTCATTTTCCACAAACTGGGTTATTTAAATACTGTACACCTATGTAAATTATGTACACCTATATACACACAGGCATGCTGACACAAAAATACTAAAATAAGAAATTATTAGTGAAAGCAGACAAAGCCAACAATTTGTGCTGTTGTTAGAGAGTTTATTTAAATAAAAATTGACTGGATGGATTATAAGGTGTGAGCTGAAATTATGCACAGCTAAATTTGTAAATCTGATGGGATCTTTTATGCCTTAGATGCGCACTGAATAAAGAAGATACTATGTCATCCCTTCTGGATATTAGCTTCCCAGAAGAAAAGGAAAGATATTTTCATTATAAGTTAATGTACTGTACCTCAGAAAAAGTAATGTGATGCTAAAGATATTGTATGCAGTACAATTTTAATTACTGTAAAATTAGGTGAAAAATACCAACAAGCATGACTGAACTACAAAAAAGAGGAATGTGATAGTGAATATATACCATGGGTTTAGCACTGCAGTGCTAAGACTCCCATGAGCTCACCATTGCACTGTTAAAAAACATTACAGAAGGAAGAAGACAAGCATAGATTCACTCCTCTAAACTATAAGTACATTATTATGAGCAGGTGCAGTATGAAGGGAAGACAAGACAGCCAGGGGTCCCTAAAGACAGTACTCAATGTAAGTCAACAAAAATACTCCCGATGCTCTAAGAAAGTGATGCAAGTTTTTTGTGTTCTAAAACTAAAGGGTGCAGTGATGTTAATGGCATCTTATTTGATATTACTTTCATAAATAATGAATGAAAGAAAAACATTACCCTCTTTATTACACTGTCTGCAATACCTTTATTGCACTACCTACCATACTTTTATTCTTATCTTTGTAACATTCAGATGTAAAGATAATGAGAACAAAAATTTGAGACACCCACTATTTACAAATACTGTAGAAGAATAAAATTGCAGTCTGCATATTGTATGTAATCTAGTTAAAAACAAAAAAAAAAAAAAAGGATTTTAATCATAAATCTAAATCACAGTGTCTATATTAATGCTGTTTCACTTTTGTATTATACATATTTGTGTTTTTAATAATTAAATTGAAATTATCTTTTGTGTGTGCTTCCATTACTTAATGCTGATTCTTTTTGAATTAAACATCTCTTAAGCTTTTTATTGTTTCTGAAGATAAAAATCAGAGATAAAAACATAATAATGCTGTTTTTTTTTAATACTGGTCAATATTATTTTTGACAGTACACTACTGTACAGTGAACCACGGTACTTTTTCAAGATTTTTTGTTTAATTCTTAAAATCTGCAGAAAAAATCCTTAATGAATAATTAAATAGTAATGCATTTTCTAGCAATGGCTAGAAAATGGTATTCTTGTAAAAAAAAAAAATACAATTTGAATAGAAAAATTAGAAAGATTCATTTTACTGCTGCTTAATATAAAGAGTACTTTGAAAATGTCTCAGCCACAATTGTTTTACCAGTATTTAGTATAATTTATCCTAATATTTTGTACAGCTAATACTTAGATGTGTTTCTGAAACAGCATTAATATTAATTTACCAAACATTCGTATATTACAGTAAGACTATGTATATACATTAGTGTTCAGGACTCAGTCTGAATATCTTTTCAATGAAGTTCAAAACACCATTTTAGTTAATACATATGTATCACTGAGGGTGTTATTAAATTAATGACAGCATTCAATTAATAAAAAAAAGTTCATGCATACAACACAGTTAATATGGAAATATTCAAACTCTTAACAGAGTTATTTAAATAAACTTGACCTTATAAAATATACAAAATTCAACCTTAACCCACTCCAGCCCATACCAGGCACTCCTATTGCTAGGAATGCCCATTAGAATAACTGTGGTCCTTACCCTGGGCTAGATTGATGCGAGCAGAACAAGCGATGGAATGTCCGGCACAGGTGATGGTACACGTGTACTCTCCTGCATCTGTTACACGGCAGCTACCCACATGTAGTCTCAGTGTTCCATCACGATGTTGTTCCATTTCAAAGCGTGGATCAGTCAATTGCCCATGAGGCCCTACCCATGTCACTGTAGTTGATTCTGCCCAAAATCCAGCACCAGTGATTACACATACCATTTCAGCTGGCTCCCCTGGACAAACTGTCACATTTCTTAGAGGAGACATAATCCTAACAGGAGACTCCGGTGAGGCAGGTATACATCCACTAGGAGGTTTATCAGGATGTTGTACATAGTGACCATCACTTTCAGAATGATAAGGATTAATTAATGAAACGGTCATCTGCCTGCTGGGAAAAGAGGGACGAGATGTAGAGGGAATCTCATGTACAGTTTCCTCTCTTCTTAGCAAGTGATGATCTCTTTTAGAGAAAGAAGGTTTACGGAACTTGATCCAAGGTTTCTTGCCGTGAGATTCATAGTATAAGCCTGTATGTGTGGGTGAGGCAGGAGGAGTTGTAGGCAGATCAGGATAAGCTGATGGAAGCACAACATTTGCAGGTACCCAGCCCTCAGCAGCTGGGCTACAACTACTTGCTGCACGATGAACGAGATATCCACGTAAGACATTGGATGAAATTACCTGGAAGATGAAAACAATATTAACATCATGAGCAATACAGTACTTATGTTTTGCAATCAAAATTCTGTTTACAAGCCTCATTGAGCACTGTTATGGAAATGAAAAGAATGAAGTTAAGGCTTAGTCCAAGCCCTGAATTGACCTTTAAACTGCCAAATATGTTGACAAGTGTGCATATATACTGCTATACACGTAGATCAATGTTTAAATTGTAGCTCCCTCATAATGGCTGCTATTAGGAATGTTAGGTCTACATGGGATAAAGTAGGCTTGCATCGTTGGTGTGCATACCAACAAAAAAAAATCCTCCACCACACTGGGCATTGTGGAAACTGTGCTGTTAGGGTACCATACCAACATGTCTTGCCTTTGACATCCCCTCATTACTGGTCATTTAGTATTTACCCAGGCTGATTCGAGTACTAAAGATAGTGGTGAGGGCTTGGAGTTGTATGAATATGAACATACAGAGTGCTGTGTCAGGCAAGTATCATGAAACTAGTATACAGTGCTAACAAGTTGATGAATAAGACATGTGTGCACCACTTAGGTATCTTGATTGGCAAAATGTTTCACTTGCATAGCAAACTTCATCAGAATCCAGTGAAGTACTGAATGGTAGGAAACTTCAGTCAGATTATTATAGTATTCACAAATAAATGCCAAACCAGTATGTTTCATTCATTCTGTTAGGTTTATGATTTCATTCATTTGATTAGAATTATAAAAATCTAATAGCAGTAGTATTAAACAATTCAGCAGTGATAAAATCAAAGCCCTCACTTAATTACACTTCCAACCTCTATACCCTAAATTATAAACACCAATGTAAGAACTTCAGATTTTCTGAATGCTGCATATGGAGAGTGGAACCTCAATAGCGTATCTTTAGGCAGATTTATTGGTTAGGGTCTCTGGATATTAGGTTGATGGCTATTTGCTAATGACCAAGTAGATTCATTTTTGTACCTACAGAAAAAAAGCACACTATCCAGTTCTGTATAACTGAATATCTTAATTATATTATTATTTTTATCTTCATTATATTACTAATAGGTACAATACTCTATATACATGTATTAATTATACAAGGGTGTCAAGCTTAAGATCCTTAATTTTCTTCAGTTTTCCCATTTGTATATTAATAAAACTTGTTAGAGGCAGTTTAAGATTTTTGAGTTACTCCTCATAGAAAAATATGCATTGGCTTACTTGGATAACTTCCCCTCTGCTTACAGATATTTCATCCTCTCTGACTGCTGTGAAATTTGCCAGCACCTTGACAAGTGTGCCAGCTGGCAGTGACACACTCCAGTCACCCTGTAGTAGGAACCAGAACTTAGTAAACAATAGAATACATAGCATAATATAATATTTAGTTGTATCATATATTCAAAATTTCTATATGCATTTATTTTACACCTTAATTTTCATACACAATATTTAATAACCATAAAATAATCATTTGAGGGTACACATATCATGCAAAAATCTGAATATATACTTGAACAAATATTGACAAATGTGGTAAAGTATACCATGCAAGTACTGACTAGGAAACCAAAGAAATACAATACATAGTATAGTACATGGCAACTGTTTGTAGTAATGTGATATATTGTGGGTTAATGAAAAGAATATGTATACGTATACTGTATTGTATTATGTGGTGTGTGATATTTCTTAAGGACTATCTTTTAAAGACTAAGCCTCACAAGAGCAGGTAATGTACCCACTGTACTGGAATTGGTAAATCCAAAAGTTTTTGGTTAACACAGTGAATTTTCAGTGCCAATTCACAAACGCTTAATAGTCATTGAGTGGTCGCCTCTTTGTAGGGGTTGTGTGTTCCTTGGGTAGGAACACAACGAAGATCAAAGATACCTGCAGTTCTTTTCATCCAACACACACTCAAAACTCCTGGCTAACATTGATGGACTTGAAAAGCTTCCATATGAGGCTTATTTGAAGAAATTAGACATCTTTGATGCATCAAGATCACTTAGCAAATGTTGGGAGAAAATCCAGGTGTTAATAAATGACTGGAGTTCTCCCAACCCCTCACAAAAAATAGGTGATATGGACTGCATAGCAGATTCCAAGTGAGGAATTTGATGCTGGTCATTGCATAATAAATTTGAGCTTAGTTTTTAAGAATTGCATCCTCAAAAAGAGTGGTAGTGTGATATATTTAAAATATGTAGGGCTTGTTTCCATTTTGATTTTCAAACACAAGTATCATCATAGTGCTCACATACACTCCTCAGTCTATGCCCGACAGAGATATGTTTCCTTAAATATGGGTCAGATGGCATTATTTAAACGAAAGAGAAAGCAAACCCATACAAAAGTGTATGGGGTCTGGTTAATCCATTCTGCATATTGACTAAAAAATTATGAAATCTGAACCACAAGTATCAAACTGGCATCTTACTCAGTAGCAAACTATGCACCAGCAAAACTTCCACTGTGATTCTAGAAACCAGTGTTAAGCAATAAACATAGTATTGTACCCATGAAACCAAACCACATGAATGAATAAAAATTCAGGGCTCACTGAAGAGGGTCATATATTATTCAGTCAGTACTTGATGCATGAAGATGAATTCTTGTAATAGATAATGAGGAAGTTTTAGGATAGTAAAAAATTTTAATGTAAGAGGTGGTGGTTATAAATACATACACTGTCTTGTCATGCAGAACTACGTTATTAATGCCAGGGTCTGTCAAGTAGATCTACGTCGTGAGCTCGGCTCGCTTAGATAAGCTGTGAGTGGTAAATTTTGGCCTAGGTAGACAATGGGTCTATGTGGTGATTGTGCACAGTATAAAACGAAAAATCCTGCCTCCTGCAATGCATAATGGGAAAAACAAAAACCTAACCAATTTAAAATAATGACTTTGAGGTATTTTCTAAGAATGGTTTCTTGGTATTATTTAATAGAATGAAAGACTTACTACTGAAACAGAGATAATTTTGCTTGGTTCCAGGAGTGGAAGTAGCTTGAAATTGGCCTCAAAATAACAGAAATATTCAATTTTTGCCAATTTTCCTAAGGACGGGTTAGGTCCCCCCCACATCCCTTGGTCTGTTCTATGGGTTTTTACTAGGTCTTATTCAATTATTGGGAAGCTGTAAGCCATGACCAATCATTCCTGGTTATATTTTATTGTCCTAAAAATAGGGCAATCTTCAATTTGTGTGATGAATTTAAAATTGAAGACAGGTGCAATATAGAAGAGGCCTTGGGGTGTAATTAATGAACAGAGGAAATGTAGTTTGTGCCTAGAATGTCTACACCATTTATTTTGGACTCTGTCTTTAACCCTTTCAGGGTCAAGAGGCTCTCTCCTAAACTTGTTCTCAGGGTGGAAAATTTTTTGGGAAAAAAATTTTTTTTTTTACTTATGAAAAGAGAATCTTTTTCCGATCATAATGACACCAAAAGTGTGAAAAATGATGGAAAACTTACGGAATTATGCTCTCGCGAAGTTAGCGGCCTTGACAATGTTTATGCATCGACGATTTTGCCCACTTTGAGCCCTGTTCTCGGCCAATTCCAATGTACTTGTTGACAAAAATCATAACTTTTCCGCTAGAACTCCATTTTTTCTATCGAATGAGTACAAGAAACCACCCATTTACTGATTTCAACTATCCAATAAAGTGGTCAGAAATTAGCAATTTTGCCAATTTTGCACAAATTTCAAAAGGTGCCAATTTCCAAATAGGGTCCAGAATAAACAAGACAGATATTCCTGGCACTAAAATAACATTTCCTCTCTTCATTAGTCACATCCCCAGGCCCCCTCTTACATTTCTTTTGCCTTCCACTTTGAATTTTTATTCTCACAAAAAATAAAAGATTTACTGTTATGCAGACTACTGCATTAGTGTAGAAATGGTATAAATAATATCAACACACTTGTGAAAGAATATTAGACTCGCCAGTTGACGTGTATTGGACGCATGGCATAATTTGTTTATTTTTTAACTTTGGCAAAAATCAAACATTTCTGCTACTTTGAGCTCAGTTTCGAGGTACTTTTCATTGTGAAACCAATCAAAATCATCTCAATTTCTGTAATATGTCTTCCATTCTATAAAATGAGACCAGGGAAAACTAGAATACAACGATAAATACCATACGAAAATACAGTGCAAAGTCTCTGTTTTAAGCCAAAAACACGGTCAAAGTTTTTTTTCTCATTACGCACTGTGTGCTGCAGGATTTTTTTTATACTGTGCACACTGACCACATTGACCCATTCTTTCATATGTAGGCCTACCAGCTTTCTCTCGCTAGATTTGAAGGCGCTAGAATTTAGGCGTACTAGTACGTCAATAACCCTAGTGTGTAAGCCATGCTGGTACATCGGAAACCCTGAAAAGGTTAAACTGGATTTTTTTTTTAATTTTTGCATAAAATTGGCCAAATTATCAACTTGTGTGCATTTTATTGGATAGTTTTATTAATAGTTGAATGGGTGGTTTTTTGTGCTCAATCAATAGAATGGAAACTATACTAGTGAAATGGCTGGAATTTGGTCAAATTGAGCAATGAACTTATTTGGCAGTATCACCAATGCGTAAATTGAGCCCAGAATATTAACTTTGTGCCTGCATAATTCCATAAGTTGTCCACCAAATTTCATAATTTTGGTGTCATTACCTTCAGAAAAAGATTCTTAACCCCTTTTTTTTTTTTTAAATGTGGACATTGAGCACTTAATTTTGGGGGCCTGGACAGTGAAAGGGTTAAAATTCACAAGAGCCAATATAGAGTTATTTCTTGTAAAAAAAAAAATGGTCATACCACTAAAAATAAAACTGATAAATTGTCAGCTACACTGCAGTAACAGTTCTAACCTCCTAAGTAGGACACACCAATATTGAAAGTTTGAAGGCCATCAGAAGAGGCTCTCTAATGCTACTGCATGGAAATGAACAATCAGGAATGGCTTTATGCAACAGACAAAAGAGCACCTGCCCATTGAAATAGATCCATGAACCTTTCTCCTAGTTATAGTTCACCAATGTTAAAAATTTGAAGCTGATTTGATCAGGCATTGTCAAGTTATAAACAAAATCGTAGAAGAGAAAACTGTTAGCCACTTAAGGGTATTATGGGATACCTAAGTAACTTAAATACTGTAGTGCAGTTTTCTTTTTCATTCATTTCATGACACATTCTTTTGATATTGTTACAGTATACATTTTTTCCATTTGTTTTTCACAGTTTCTCAAAACAAAGTGAACTACTCAGTCGCTAAATACTTATGACTACTGACTCTTTAACTAATACACTAATCTGGCCCACATGTTAATCATTCATCCTCCCAAGGTCAAACAAAACAAATTTGATAGAGTTGCCCTTTTTCCCTTCCTTGGTTGGATAAAGTAAACTTTATATTTGAGTGTGGAAGGTTATTCCAAAGTTGAAAAAAATAAATGATCAAACTGGACAGGGACAATTTAACCTATTTTTTGACCTCTGTTATCCAACCAACCACAGGTCCCAATTATCCAACCAGCCTCAGGTCCCAATTATCCAACCAACCACAGGTCCCAATTATCCAACCAGCCTCAGGTCCCAATTATCCAACCAGCCTCAGGTCCCAGTTTTCTAACCAACCTCAGGTCCCAATTATCCAACCAGCTTCAGGTCCCAGTTATCCAACCATCCTCAGGTCCCAGTTATCCAACCAGCCTCAGGTCCCAATTATCCAACCAACCACAGGTCCCAATTATCTAACCAGCCTCAGGTCCCAGTTTTCTAACCAACCTCAGGTCCCAATTATCCAACCAGCCTCAGGTCCCAATTATCCAACCAACCACAGGTCCCAATTATCCAACCAGCTTCAGGTCCCAGTTATCCAACCAGCCTCAGGTCCCAGTTATCCAACCAGCCTCAGGTCCCAATTATCCAACCAACCACAGGTCCCAATTATCTAACCAGCCTCAGATCCCAGTTTTCTAACCAACCTCAGGTTCCAATTATCCAACCAGCCTCAGGTCCCAGTTATCCAACCAGCCTCAGGTCCCAGTTATCCAACCAGCCTCAGGTCACATAAGTATTAGATACTATAACTATCTGTAGTATATGTACAGTACTAATAACTATAATTGTGCTTGTTTTGGGAAAATTATAATCACACAATAAAAACAACAGCAATGCATGAATACTGAGAAACTTTTGTCATGCATCAATCATACTACTTAAGTACTATTGTCATGCAGGTATTTCAACTAACAACAACAGTTAACCAAAAAAACGAATTCTTCCCATATAATCTACAGATACTGATACCCAAATGAA